TATATATATATATATATATATTTGTGGAGGTAGTAGTCGGATGAGGTCAAAATAATTTTAAAATTTGTATATATTAAAAGAAAATATTTTTTAACTTTTTTTGTTTGGGGGTTGGGGGAGGGGGAGAGGCTGCGTTTGGTTCGCTCATAGGGGTAAAAGAATGTTTGACATTTAAAAAATAAGAAAATTTAAAATTTTAAAGTTTAGAAAACACAAGAAAATTTTAAAATTTTAAAATGTAATTTTTTCTTTAATTTAAATGAATAGTACTTAAAATTTTAAAAGATTATTGAAGGATAAATAGAGCTTTGAAAATATTTTTTTCAATTTTTCAAGGAAAGTCATTCTCCTTAAATTTGATAAAACAAGTAGATTTGAAAAACACTTTCTAATACATTTAAACCAACCGAAAACGAGAATTTGACTAAAATGAATCATGGCCTCCAGACAATGAACCAACCTTGTTTAATATTTAAACAAAAACTTCATAACTAGTAATTTGACAATTACATTCAAAACCACAACTATAACAATACATGTCATTGAAAACCAAACATCTCAAAGTAAAAGTATAACTCAAAAATTATGTCATATGTTTAATCCATATTATCAAATATTGCAGGTAGTTTCAAACATGAATGCTGCTTCTAAATTCTTATTTGAAATTACCTCCACCTCAGTGCTTTGCTTTTTTGATTCTTTTTCTTGTGACAAAATAATACTCTTATCAATTATTAAATTGGATTTAGTTACATTGAATAAATATTTTCCCTTTCTTAATCTAACAAAAAGATACATGACCATAAAATAGGATTATATTTAGTTGAAAAACTTGATTAGGAGTAGTATTTTTATGTGAAAGTAAAAATTTAAGAATATATATATATATATATATATATATATATATATATCAAAATCTTATTGTCAATAATTCAAATTTGAAAACCAAATGACAGCTAAGAAAATTGAAGGAAGGACATATGAGTAAAAAATTAGGGTGGAAACCCTCCTCTCCACTATCACTTTACCTCCATCATATTATCAGGACTTAAATTTGATCAGTTAATATATTAACATAAATATATAACAAACAAAGACTGGAAAAACATGAAATGTTTTTTAGTGGTGACGGAATTAAATATATAAAGCAAGTAAAATAAACCTGTTTCTAGAAA